AAGTGGAATGTGCCTGAAATATTAGCACTTGAAGGACAGAGGCAGGAGGATGAGACTGTCAAGGTCATCCTTGGCTATGCATCAAATTCAAGGTGGGCCCAGGCTATATAAGCCCCCCTCCCCCCTTCTCTCCACCCCCACTGAAGAGAAAGAGACATACTGACTGACTAAGAAAGTCTGCATTCTACATTTTATGACTTATCATTTCCCTGCCATATAAGAAGCTGGCTCCAAAGCTGGGAGTTGGTGCATACCTTTAATCCCAGCACTCGGGAGGCAGAGGCAGGCGATTTCTGTGAGTTCGAGTCCAGCCTGGTCTACAAGAGCTAGTTCCAGGACAGGCTTCAAAACCACAGAGAAACCCTGTCTTGAAAGACCAAAAAAAAAAAAAAAAAAAAAAAAAAAAAAAGGAGCTGGCTCCAAGGAGAGATGAGATGCAAGGAACCTTGTCTGAGCCAATCAGTGTTGACTGACAATGTAACAAAGAAACCCAAAGGTACTACTCAGATCAAATGAAACCAAAGATATTAGCTAACTATATGCAATGTGGAATTCTCAGCTGAAACCTATACTAGAAGAAACACAATAAACAGTAGTATTGACTACAGACAAAATGAAGACAGAAACATGTCATCTACTGTATGAAAGATGATAACCACCTTATGGCACACTATTCTCTACCATCAGTTATGCTAGCAATCTTCAAGTCCTGTCTTTAAATAAAAGAAATCTAAAGGGTATAGAAGGGGAAACTTTTAATTTTTCTCCTTTGTTTCGTGACCTAAAACAGTAAAAGCAGTTATTAAACGGCCTCAGAAATATGCACAAATGCTTCATGTATGACCAACAACTGTTTTGATCAACAACAGGACTTAGGTTTGTCTTTCTTATCCTCAGATTTCATGTCAAGCATATACCAGTAATCACTAGATCCTCAAATGCAAGGTGCTTTCCACCCTCAGAATTCTCATGCCAGGAATTGTGGGTGCTGGGAACACCATGGGGAATAAGAAGATACCATCCACTAGGAGTGAGGTACATACCTTTAATCCCTGCACTGGGGAGGCAGAGGCAGGCAGGTAGAGCTCTGCAAAGATCTCAGGGCTAGCCTGCTCTACATAGTGAGCTCTATGACAGTGGAACTACACAGAGTGACCCAGTCTCAAAAAGAAGAAAGGGGGAGGAGTCACCATCCTCAACACAATATAAACAGTATAATTTCTTTGCTTTTATATGTGGGGACTCTCAGACTCCTTAGGTTTAGCACCCAGGCTAAGATCAGATGGTTGTAGCTTGGGAAAGATACAAATTCAAGAATCCCTCCAAGTCTCACCTTTGTTAACCATACTATCCCACAGCCTTTAGTATGTAATCAACAGTGACCAAGAAAAAAATATGTACACACATGTACATTCATTTTTATTTCTCCATTTCCTGTATTTCAATTTGGATTTCTTTTTTTCAGTTTGTGTGTGTGTGTGTGTGTGTGTGTGTGTGTGTGTGTGTGTGTGTGTATTATATCTATATGCAACGATGTGCACATATGGAGACCCTGCCTTAATCTTTTCAGTCAGGTCGAGGTCTCTCCCTGAACCTGGAACTAGGCTGGTAGGCAGCAAGCCCCAGGGATCCTCCTGTCCCTGCCCCACCCCCACCCCCCAGCAGCAATGGCCTGCTTTTCTCATGGGCCCTGGGAAGCAAACTTAGGTCCTCTAGCTGGGCATTGGTGGCCCATGCCTTTAATCCCAGCACACAGGAGGCAGAGGCAAGTGGATCTCTGTGAGTTCGAGGTCAGATCAAGTTCCATGACAGACTCCAAAGCTACAGAGAAACTCTGTCTCAAACAAACAAACAAAAATACATAAATAAGTCTCCCTGCTTATGCAGCAAGAACTCTTGCCCATGCATTTCAATTTAGATTTATTAAATGTTTTGGTTTCAAGAATGGTACTGCTCAAAGAATTTTAAAAACCCAAACAACACAAACCACGTAAAACCTCCTCCAAAATTAAATTAAAGTCATTTCCCCAAGTATTGTTATTGGAGGGTACAAAATATCAAGTAAATAATTTAGTACAGACAAAAATAATAAATTTGAAAAGGAATATGTTAGAAAAACTGACACTCCTTCAAAAGCTCACTGGTCTGCCAAAAATTAGAATTCTACACCTAAGCAGGTGGTTTCTGGACAAGATTCTAATTACAAACAGAAGATCCTGCTAGAACTGTGTAAAATTCTCCAGGAGACATGAACAATGGGATTAAAAGATTCAATGAATTGACAACTACATCAGTTACCCTTGTAAACAAACAGAACAAACCAGAAGGAAAAAAAGTTCAAACAAAAACGCTGAGGAAACTTCAAAGAAATGATAAACTTCAAAGAGAATTTTTTCATATCACATTTCAAACATTCTTTCAGTACAAAAAAAATGACTTAAAATTAACTTGATTTTAGAATTTTAAATTCATTTGCTTTTTAGCGGGGGGGGGGGGGGAATTGGGGAAAAAGTAAATTACACTGTCCAAACACAAAATAATTACATCAACATATGTATACAGAAAGGTTTTTAAGTAAGTGAGAATCCCAAGCAATTCCTAATCTTAATTATCCACTTGACTAGACAGAAATACAGCGCTCCTCTCAATATGTCTCAGGGCTTTTCAGGGACAACTGTGTCTTGAGGGCATTAACTTAACCCATTTCAATCCATTGAATAGACTCAAAAATTTGACAGAACTGTAAAAGGTGAGGGCTCTTGAAGGAAGGCCCCTGGGGTGTGCCTTGGGGGTCTCATCTTGGCCCTGGCTCCTTCCTATTCCTCCTCTTTGCTTTTTGTTTTCCTTTCTGTCTGTTTTGTTTCCTATCTCCCTTACTAATGTCAGGGAGAAGGCAAAGCCAATGCCTTCCTCATCTTCCTACTCAATAAAGTTCTGACTTCGCCTAAGGTCTAAAGTTAACCTGCAAGCCCCACTTGCCCAAGGACAGAAAACTTCCTGGAATACTGGGGGTTGTTGTTTCTTGTAAGATAACAAGTCACTTCAATATTTTCACTTCAATAAACAAGGTTGATTGCCCCATCCGAACAGGATGTGCTTGATCAGAGGCTAGAGATTTTTTTACATAGGCAGGAAGTAGGTCAAGATGTATGCTTGCCCCCATTGGCCAAAGGTGGAAAGTACAGTGGCCTTGTGGGTCTGGCCTTTATATGTACCTAACTGACCTAATTCAGCGCCAATTCTCTGGGAATCCTGGATATAGACCTGGCAAGTGTCCACCTTCCTGGTCAGTATTTAACAAAGCTTGCTTCAGTTGGACAATCATGGGTTTGGTCTCAATGCTCAGGTTTAACACTCATTACTTTCCATCAAACAAGCATTAACTATACAATTTATTTTAAACTGAAAAATATGTTTGTTAACTAAAGAATCAGAAATTCATTCTCATTCTCTCTCCCTATCTGTATAGGTAAAAATCAGTCTGGGCATGGTGGCATACATACTCTGTTAATCACACTCTCAGGTCCAGAGTCATGTGGACCTCTTGAGTTCTAGGACCAATCAAGGGTACAAGGTAAGCTCCTGTCTCAAAATAAATAAAATAATATATTTTTCTTTAATTGTAAAACACTGGCAGTATACTCCAATGCTACCCTAAGCAAGTCTTAAAGAAAAAAAAACTGTATTTTTAATTTGTCTCCTAATTTTCTTTTTTCCTTTTTTTGGATGGGGGTGGGTTAATAAACAAGAACCTAATTAAACAAAAGTAAACTTTCTGAGTAAGATTTTTTTATCTGAAACGTTTTTTCATATATTATTTTGATCACATTCTTTCATCTCACCCAACGCCTCCCTAATCCTCCCCACCCCCTACTCACCAACTATCATTCTTTCTGTTAAAAAAAAAAAAAAAAGTGTGTGGGGGGGGGTTAGTACTTTTTTTAGAATGTACCTTTCACTTCTAAAGCAGTACCACAAAACCTTAATACCTTTATAGGGTTAAATCTATACTACAATCCCGGCTTCTGAGATTAATTTTACCATGCATAAATCTCAATTTCCAGTTATCAATGAACAGATCTCTGGCACGGTCTCATGTTTCCCTGATGGTTTCTGCGATCACCATGACGATGGACTAAACATCTCATGTAAATATTAGTTAACTTCTTTGTTCCAGACTGAGAGAGGAGGGTCCATAGGGTGTGTTGTGAAAACTCAAAAACTGCAACCAAGATGGAGCGTTACTTTCACTTCTGTATTGTAGGGCTTGCCTTATTTTTATTTGGCGGTGATTTTGCCAATTATCGTGTAGTTGCTGTTGGGTCACTAGATCCCATTTTAAGTCATGCTGCTGGGTTAGAAAACAACTCAAAGTGTCAACTTGCAGTTCAACGCCGATCATCAGTTTTTCGGGTGCCCTGAGGCCTCGCCGGTCTGGGCGGCCCCGACGGGCCCAGGCTGGGTTTTCTTTCCGCCCTTATTATAAAGTGGTTATTTGGGTATCTCTTCCTTTAAGCGAGGTTCTAGCGAGACCCGGGCGAGCACGGGCCAACATGACCTCGAGGCCATGCTCTGCCGCCTGGTGGATGAGGCAAGATGGAGGCGGCCAGCGCCTGGGGCCGCGCCGGGCCGGGCGGGGCGGGGCTACGGCGCGACCGCTGAGGATCCCCCCGGTTCCAGCGCCGGCTCGCGTCCACCTTGAGGCCGTCCTCCTGGTCCCCCCCAGCCCGGACCGCGGCCGGCGCCCGCAGAGGGCGTGGAGGCCCCAGGAACAAGGACGCCATTATGAACGTCCCCAGTGGCTGCCACCGCCGCAGCCCGCGCGGGCCTCAGAGGGGGAAGGGAGGGCGCGGCGGGCGGACGGGCGGGGCGGCGGGGCGGAGCCCACAGCGGGGACGCGGGCTGGCGCCGCTCCTCGGGCCACCGTCTGCCCACCGCCCCGGGGCTAAAGATGGAGGCCTGGCTGCGCCTGTCTCCGTGGTCCCCGTCAGAGCTCCTACCTGTACCTTCCCGGTCCTTTTCCTCCGCCATCTTGGTGCGGAGCCCGTCGCCCGGGAGATGGCCATCACAAACCCTGCGGGGCGCGCGAGCGGGGCCCGCTCCGCTTCCCCCCGGAACCGAGGCCCCGAGGCCCGGGCTCGTTAGGTCTAGGGAGTCATTTGTTAATAAAGTTCCTGCGCCCGCTTGCCCTTGCCGTGTTGTGACTGTGCTGAGAGCTAAAGCATTCCGCGCTCCCCTCGGAGGACGTGGCGTGTCTCGTTTATTTATTAGGAGTTTTGTTGATTTCTTTGTTGTTGGTTTTTTCTTGCGTACAGCCCGGTGCCCCGAGCCCGGATTCTCCCGGTCCCGTTCACAACCGTAAGCCGCGTGCTCGCTCCCCCGCTAGGCCCTGTGCGTCTCCTGGGTCACCCTCTAAGCGGAGCCACTGCGCAGCCCAGCCCAGGGAACTGGAGCGAAAAGGGACGTGGGCCGGCTGCGGGAGGAAGCCAGGCTTCTCTAAGGGATCGCGGGAGAGGACTCGCTGTAGGAAAACATGTGCAAAATAGGCGCAAAACACTGCGTCGTCAAGGCTGCAATTTCTGGTACAAAATAGTGTTCTCATAGCAACAAGTAAATTGCCGGTCTGTTCTCAGTATTACACACATTGATAGGTGATGGTGCAATTTGGCGTGACCTTCCAGTGAGAATTTCCATCTTATGTTCCTGAGAAATTTGTAGTGTTTTGTTATTTTATGGATAAACTCAATATATACTTGGGTATTTCCTTTTTAAAAAAATTTTTTTAATGTCTTAACAGTGTGGCTCAGATGACTAGTTTTAATCCGTAATGATATTTCAGGGCGCATGTGTACTCATTTTAAAATTTATCATAAAAATAACAACTAAATATTGAGGCTTTTAAAATGCAAGATATTAGTATTTAATTTGGGGGGGGGCAGGGTGAAGGTTTGGAGACAAGTTATCTTTGTGTAGCTTTGGAACCTGTCTTGGAACTAGCTCTTGTAGACCAGGCTAGTCTTGAACTCAGAGATCCACCTGCCTCTGCCTCCCTGTGCTGGGATTAAAGGCGTGCACCACCACTGCCTGGCTGTTTTAATTTTTTTATTACTGGTTTTTCATAAATGAACTTCTGTAATCACAGTGAATGAACCTTCAAAGCAGGGCAAGCAAGTGTGGAGAGGAAGAGAACCGACCATTTCTGCTCCCTAATTCTTTCTCCACCGATTCCTCAGGGGTCCCAGTCCTACAGCCTCTCAGAATGGTTTATATGCTTCTATTGTTTCTTTTTTGTGTTGTTGTTTGTTTTTCGAGACAGGGTTTCTCTGTAGTTTTGGAGGCAGTCTTGGAACTAACTAGCTCTAGGTCTTATACACCAGACTGGGCTCGAACTAACAGAGATCTGCCTGCCTCTGTCTCCCAAGTGCTGGAATTAAAGGCATGTGCCACCAACATCCCACATACTTGTTTCTACTACATAAATTTCTAGCCAAAAAAGTTGGAAATTGTGTGTTTGTGTGTCTGTGTCTATAAGAGAGACTATGTGTGTACGTGTCTGTGAACGAGTGTGTGTGTGTGTGTGTGTGTGTGTGTATAGTTTATGTCTTTGCTTTAGATTCTGTAAGAGGAAAGATCCTCTCTAGGTGCCCAGGCTGGTCTCAAGTGATACTCCTGTTTCAGCCTTGATGAATAATTAGAATTCCAGATATAATTAAAATAATTATAACACTCACATCTAATGTGAAATAATATTGATCTTAAAAATGAAGATAGTTATTTTTCTCCTTGACTTTTCCAAGAGGCTCAGATTCAGTGAACTTACTGTAAAACAGATTTTCCTTTTGCATATTTTTGTATCAGTAAAAGTATTAACAACACACAGTAAATAAAATGGGATCCTTATATAAGCATTTGAACATGTACGCAGTTAACATTTTAAAAGTTGAACAGACTTCTCTACAACCCCCCTCCCAATATTTTGCACGGTCTACTAAACTAGTCAATAAAGTATTTTATTTCAGTTATTTGAAAACATATTCATTTGTACTTTGAATTCCTCTCAGATATTTAAAACAATACCATCAAATCATCCATGGAAGATCACATTTGTAGTCTCAGGAGACAGAAGCAGAGGGATCAGGAATTCAAGGTCAAATTCGTCTGGCAGTAAATTCAAGGCCAGCATATGGTAAGAAAGGTTACTCAGTAGTAAAAGGTGAGCCCTTGCTATTCATAAAGCCCTGGGTTCAATCCTGAACACCAGTAAAATGAGACCACAACAAAAAAAGACTTGAAAGGGCTACATTCAAAAACCCTTAATTAAGAAACTATTGACTAGACTCATAGCACTTGAACAGCTGGGACAAGAAGATTTTTGCAAACTTAAGGTCAGCCTGGGCTATATACTAAGACTCTATATCAAAAAGCCAAAATAAATAAATAAATAGAGAGATAGATAGATAGATAGATAGATAGATAGATAGATAGATAAATAAATAAGAAAAGTATGCTAGCTAACACTCCCCCTCCAAGTTTAAAGACAAGAAACAGATCTTACACATCCATATGCACAGTAACTAGCCTCATTGGAGCACGTTTAGGTACTTAATAGAATTTTTCAACTGGCTAATTAATGGTTTTACATAATGTATTCCAGAAAACTTCCCACAAGTGATTATTTTCCAAATAGAATACAGGCTTATTCCCTGAGGCGTAGTTTTCATGGTACAACAAGGGGCTGTATAGGCTTCCAAAGGAGGGGAGCAACCAAAATCCCTATCTGCTATGATGCCTATGAACCATACCAAGGACCAGCATGGCATGATAACCCTAAGAGTAAAGTAGTAGCATGCACACCTTGGTGGTAACCAACTGCTCTCTAATTGGATTTAAGACCCAGTCAACAAAAGGGAAATCATGCTTGGTACTGGAATTCTAGTCAACTACCAGAGCTAGTAAAGTCATAAATCTTGGAAAACTGAGGTGGTTTGAATAGGAATGCTCACCTCCTCCCCCAGGCTTATATATTTAGATGCTTAGTCATTAGGAAGTGGTCTACTAGACAGGGATTAGGAGGTGTGGTGGTTTGAATAGGTATGGTACTCATAGACTCATGTGTTTGAATGCTTGGCCCATAGTGAGTAGCACTATTAGGAGATGTGGCCTTATTGGAGTAGGTATGGTACATCACTATGGAGGTGGGCTTTGAGATCTCATATATGCTCAAGCCATGCCCAGTGTGACAGTTCACTTCCTGTTGCCTGGGGATCAAGATGTAGAACTCTCAGCTACTGTTACCAGCAGGTTTTCCCACTGACCTGGACCCAGAGCCACACCAGCCCCAAATAACACAGAGAGACATTGTATTAGATATTATGCTGTTGGCCTGTTACTAGCATTTCTTATTGGTTAGCTCTGTCTTAATATTAACCCATTTCTATTAATCTAAATGTTTCCACATGGTCTTGGCTTACCAGAGAGAGGGTCTGGAGTTTTGCTCTCTCTGTCCTCCATGTTGAATCTCCTATTACCTATCCCCAAATCCTCCTTGTCTCCTAGTCCTGCCTATCTTGCTTTCCTATTGGCCAACAGGGCTTTATTCATTAACCAGTAAGAGAAACATATTTACAGAATGACATCTCCAGCATCATGTCTGCCTGCATGCTGCATTGCTTCCCACCATGACAGTAATGGACTAACCCTCTGAAACTGTAAGTCAGTCCCAATTAAATGTTTTCCTTTGTAAGAGTTGTCATGATGTCTCGTCACAGCAGTAGAACACTGATGAAGGCAGGAACCTTTGAAAAGTTTTAAAGAGCTTCCAATGGTTCACATGCACACAAGGAATTGGCTAACGCCACAGTGCTCACCACTGTTGCAACCTGCTTCCTGTACAATATGAAGCCTGTTTTATTTGATGCAGCTGACCATCTTTCAGCTGGCCCTTGGTGCCCACCTTGACATTATTAACCCTTACTAAACTGATGAGCCATCCCATATTCCTGAAGCTCCAAACACAGGAAAATGAGAAAGGGCATCTACTACTCTGGTCCAATTCCAGATTCTGAATTGCAGGCATATCCCTTCCCTGGATGACTAATATTAAGAATGTCCATGTCACCCCACTGATAGGTCAGTAGTCTGACCCTGTGATGTCTTCACAGACATCAGAGAAGGCTAGGTGTATCATGAATATATCAAATGCTAAACATGCAGAAACACAGAACCATATACTCAAGTCAACACTGTAAGGACTGGATCCGTGACAGAGCTGTAAGTTAAAAATAGTTGTTTTCTGGCTGAAGATGTCCCAGAGTTGGTAGAATGCCTATCTCACTGGGACAAAGCTCTGAATTCAATCCCTAACATCCTATAAAGCAGGTGTGGTAGTGTATGAGCACTGGGAAAATAGAGGCAAGGGAATCAGGAGTCCAAGATCATCTTTGAAATTCGAGGCCAGCCAGGGATATATGAGACCCTGTCAAGATTCTTAATTAAGCTACGTGTAATGCTTTGTATACAATATGTCTTTTAACCCTTATGAGGTTGTTCACGCTCCTGTTTTACAGGTGAAAGTGTAAGTGGTATGCTTATGGTGTCGAGGGTAGTTAGGTATGTAGTGTAGATTGCAGCTCATCTGAGCTCTACTCCTTTATGAGTGTGCCATAGGGAGAAGCCCACTTAGTAACCAGAATACTTAGAGAAGAATGTTAAAGGCAAAAATTCTCCATGGAATTAGTCACCTCTCCTGTGGTTTTTCCTTTTTTAAATATGCGTCAAAACATGAAGCAAAACATCTGGCAGAATCTCTGAGAGACATTAAAGGAAGCAGACAGGGGTGTGTTCCTTGTCCTGCCTGGACAGACGATGATTTAAACTAAAGGCCTGGCCAGACGCCGGCTCCTCTCTCCTCCCCACCTGGCTGCTGACTGAGATTTCAGGCCTCTGTCGTGAAGGAGGACTGAAAATTGTAGCCCTGAACAAGAGTGTTTTCAGAGCCAGAGGTAGCTTCAATGCTCGGAGACAGTGGGCACAGGAAGCCAGGCTGTGGGTAGCTGGAAAGTGAGCCTTGCAGGAACCACAGTCTACAGGAGCAGCCTCACCCCTAACTTTTCTCCCAAAGCAAGGATCTTTCTGCTTCTCTTAAAAACATACATCGACACAGAAAATGTCTCTTTAATTCATTGCTTACACAGCTCCAGTCCCTAAGCAGCATCTTTCAAGGACTCTTAACTAAGTCTCTGTCCTTTGTGCATAGACAATGAGACCCTCTGATCTGAGAGCCAGCTGTTCTGCAAGGGAAGCACAGACAGGCATGGAGGAAGGTA